ATATTATTCTACCGAATCCCTATTAAGCAATCATAAATCATACTTGATGTCAACTGTGGTGACACAAAAGACTATCACCATCATCATGATGATGTTGATATGATGAACTGCCTTGCGGCTCAACCTCGACTCTGGCGCAAAACTATTATATCACAGTCTGCGCGATGTGGAAAGGCATAATGCAAGTGATAGTGATGATGATGAGTTGTCGTTGAGAAACTCCAGCAATGCTAATCTGACCAACACCACATGCACCACATTAACACACTACCAGCACCAATTGCCGCACCTCCTCATTGAATGACACGACTAGTGTCAGGTGTGTCCCGTATCGCCACTCTACTCCCCATGATGCAACAACGACGGCGTCTTCAACGCCAAAACAGGGCCTGAGACGCCAACGTGTAAACTCGAATTCTTCATCCCTATATCAATCGTTTAATGCCAGCCTGCAGGCACCCATGGCCTCAGCCAATCGTGGCCACTTTACGAGTGGCCGTAATTCAAGAAATCTTCACTTTTTGAATCACGTTCCTCATCATCGTCCGGTCGCATTGGTGGCGGTAGTGGTGGAAGTGGTGGTGTTGCTGTGGCGGCGCCAGTGCCAGCAATGCGGTCTTAGCAACAGCAGTAGTCGTCGAATAGTAATTTTGTTAGTATTGTATTTAATGTTTTAGATTTTTTGTTTTAAAAATATTTAAAAAATCTGACAACACAACACTGTTTTAGGTGTTAACGTTTTTGTTTTCTTTATTTTTAAATTATTTTTTTTGTGTATTGTCTTTTTTAATTAAATGAAGTGTTTAAGGATTTTAAGTTTTTTTTTATTATTATTATGGATTTTCATTTTAAAGTTGTTCTGTATAAAATCAAAATCGAATGATGACTTGAATATATAATTATTTTACGACGTATTTTGTAAATTTGAAGGGACCATATGACAAGACAAGATTCCAAAAAAAATTGGACCTTTAAGTATTGAATCAAAACGGGGGCGGTATGAATCACCGACGCTCACCCCCACACCCATATCCATGTCTTAAATATACTAACAGATTGTAATATTATAGTTTACACAGCTAGAACAACTCTTTTTTTATATGTTTTATATTAATTTTATTATAATTTGTAATTTAACTAGTGCTTAAATCATCTAAATTAATGTATTTGTTTAATTTATGTATTTAATAACCCGTAAACGATTTTAAACAAATTGCTCAAATATATGTGTAATTATTTCAACAACTAATTTGTTTTTCATTACCAAATATTGTGCGTGCCTTTTATACCCCACCAGGCTCAAGCTTTCTTTTGTTTCATTTCTTTAATTAGCTTTCAATATGTATTTGAGTTGAGTACAACAAAAATGTTGTGTATTGTATGTTTTCGTTCTCCTTCTTTTCTTTCTGGTAAATAGAAATACTGTGATTGGTGTGTATTAACCCAAAACAAAATCCTTCAACTCCAAATGTTGTTGTTCATGATCCCCATGACCCCCCAAACCCACACACTTCATGTATAGTAACTGACAGCCTAGCATTTGACGAACGATCAACAGATAAGTGTCAATACAATACATTCAAACCAACCCACCCACCAAACATACGTATCACAGTAGACAACACCTAAGTGTGTCCCTACCACCACCAACCTATTTCGGAAGAGATGTCTAAAATCAGCTTTAACCACCACCACCAAATGTAACTTTCTTTCTTTTCTTGTTTTCTTTTTCTTTAATCCTTATTCGTTGTTCTTCTTACATTGTGCAACTCAATTTTGGTTAATTTGTGTTGTGTACCGATTCCAAAACCACAAAAATAAAAACAAAACAAAATATAAATAAAACAAAAAAAACTCTGATACCTTGTAAATAAAAATGCCCTCACCTCAACCATGACGATGACAACGACGACGACAAATTAAAAATTGAATAACAAAAAGTTGGCAACATCCGTTTGAGTAACAGTGCCGAATCGGTGCAGTATCCCGTGCGCAGACCCTCGACCAGACCATACTCTTAGGTGCCAACATACCCCGGCAATATCCTCTACGATCTTCTTTGCGACGCCACAAAGAAAAAGCAAGTGGGCAATAATAGCTGTACATCCTCCTCATCCTCTTCCAACAACAATGGCCCAGCAAGTACCAGCCCAAGGCCTGTTTCAACAGCGGGTGGCTTTTTAATGGGTAGCAGCTCCACATCCGATGCTCTGGCTGCGGGCAGTGAGTGCTGCAGCTCCTCAATGGATTCTAATACCACTGCAACAGCTTACCTTAAGGCTCCACGAGTTTAATGCGAAGATTTCTCCCCAGTAGAAAAGAAAAAAACAAAAAACGCCCGAAAATATAGTTTGTACATACCATACCATACTCTTATAAATATTTTAGATTACTCTTATATACCTTCTTTCAGAAAAAAAGAAAGTAAACTTCTAACTTATGGTAAAAAATAAAACAAAAAACAAGTCTGATTTTAAGTTATATATGTGCATAATTTTTTTAAACGAAAAACACTATACATTATCTATTAGGATATAGGATTAAAAGGTTAATAATATTACTTGGAAGTGTAAACGTAAATGTCATGGTGATGCAGCCAAACGGTTACGAATGCCCATCTTTATTCTCCCACTTTTTGGGGTTATAAATGAAATGTAACCTGACCTTTTGAAAAGTGAAACAAAATGCCTCAAATATTACAAGGAATGTGGAATATTTGTTTTTAGAGGCTAGTCCTCAATCGTTTTATGCTATTTTTAGTAATTTCATGTACATTTTGGCATTTATTGTTGCTCGTTACCCAATGGAGAAACTAAAATTTGTAAAGCATTGAAATTTTGTAATTGTGTTGAGGAGATTGTGAGACAAACGTCAAGGTATGGTTTCCTTACCACATAGTCCGTATTTGGGAATCTCCTCTCAAACGAAATGAATGAAAAAGGAACAACATTTGATTGTCAGCTTGAAAAATCTATGTGGATCTTTGACTAATAACATCATAAATATTTCCACACGTGTTATTAAAAATAAAACGAGGCAGCTAAATATCTAAGAAATAAAAAACACATGCAAAAATAACAAAAATAACTAAAAATGTTGTTACTACAACTACCCCTAGTTGTGATTGTATGTTCTTCAACTACTTAAGTTATAAACCGAAACCGAAGACTTTTAAAATAACTTTCCTTGTTTCCTTTGCCTTTTTTTTAGCATATCCTTAACCAAAACAAACTAAACCGTAAAACCAATGGTATCTTCTAAAACAATCCTAGTAATTTACTGAAGAAAACGAATTCCGAACATTATTTACTGAACGATATATAAAAAAATATATATTTTATTTTAATTCCAATAAATACGCATTTATTAGAGATTTGTCGTTTCTTTTAATAACTTAAATGTATTGATAACAAAAAAATTCTAGAGTTGTAGTCCAAGAAAACGAAAATAAAAACAATTCGACCTGCTAACTATATGTTGTCTTAAATGTAAAATAAACTAAAAAAACATAAAAAGAATGCCAAAATATAAACATTACAGCATTTCAAAATAAAGACGATAAATAAAAGATTTAAAAGTCCAGCTTTTGGAATGCAAGATCATAAAAAAACCCGCCGTCAAATTGGTTGATCAAATTACATTCATATATGCCCGTACCCCGTACTGGAAATGTACCTTAAATGGGCGGAAGAAATAAGTGGGCATTACAATCATCGGGTCATTAGCTTACAATTGTAATCATTCAAAAATATTGATAAAATGTTTATTTTGAATCAAATTTATTTTTATTAATATCTCTTTTTGTACATAAACTATATTTTCCAATATAAAAGAGTTTAAATGTAATTTTCTAAATATAGAAGCTAAAAAAACAACTAACTTCAAGAAAATTGAACACCAATAACACTTAGTTGTTATAAAGAATAAAAAAAGAATATTTTTTAAAATTAGTTTAAAAAAAGTTCAAATAATTTTTAGATTTTTAAATAGAATTTATTTTATTTAAGCTATGCCGAAACAAAATCACCCTTGAAAGGAAGTAATAACTTGTGTATCTACTTCTTTTGTTATAAATTTCAAATAACAATGGGTTGTTATTAATTTTAAAGTAGTTTTCTTTACAATGTAAGCAGAGATTAGTTTTCCTTCAGTCTTTTTTGTAATATACTCTCTTTTGTATTATACTTTAATATATATACGATATTTTTTACTATTAAATATTATTAAATTATTGAAAATCTATATTAAATAACAACTACTATTTACATATATATATGTATGTCGTAAATATATTTTATATTTATTATTATTATTAAAAATATTACAAAGAAGAAAAACAAAATGAATGAATCATTATATTAGTAAAATATATATTTGAAATTATATATGAAAAAAAGAAAATGATAATAAATGTTAGAAAACATATAAATTACAAAAAAATTGAATTTTTCATTTGTCTCTAAGAAGTTAATATAAACCTCACATGATTTAACATTTCTAAGAATGTAAGTATTTAAATTCTCTGATGTTATGGCAGATTTTAGTCCTGAAACTTTAAGTTTATCGGGCCCAATCTTGTCTATGGACAGTGGTAACAGCCATAACGACTTGTAAGGTTCTAAAACTAGACAGTTGGCAAATAAGCTAATTTGTACAGGTTTATTATTATATACTTTTAAAACTATCATAATGGACAAGAAGCAGGTCCGTGAATCCTCGGAGTGATCTAGAGCAAGTGATCGAGTAGTCTTACAAATATTTACAGACGAGTTTTCATAAAATGCTAGCTCGAATTGTAATCGTGTGATTGCATGAGATTACCTTGGTAATTGTGCCATAATACAGATAACGAATTCTACGTTTACCCCTGCATTTAGAACAAGTGTTCGATTCCATATCCTATTTTCCGCTTCTACATGATTATTTCTTGATTGACAACACCAAAACCACAACTATTGTCCGATGATTCAAATCGCCAAGAAAATAAAACTGCAGTAATATAGCTTGTCACATTATACATACACACATGCATTGCTTTATTTAAATAAATATGGTTTTTTACTTTATGCACAAAATACATTTGCAGAAAATTAAGTTCAAGTTCCATTTGGCTTTGGAATAAATATTACTAAAATTCCCTAAAGTTCTAAATATAAAAATTGTATTATATAATACTAGGCATTTGAGATATAAATATATTGGCTCTGGCAATCTCATTAGGTACGTTTATCATCAGTGGGATTCCATGGCCATGTTAGAGAGGGAGGGGGTTGGCGAACAACATCAATTATGAACACGCATACTAAAAGGAGATAACTTTTATTAACTAATCGGATTTCGTTCGAATACACAAACTTACATAGATATATATTTTTATCATTTAGTTAAGTAGTTTGTCCACAACATACATTTGTCATCGCCTGTTATTGCCCCAGATTGTAGAGATTTTTATCCACCAAAATGCCATTCTCAATAAGGAAACTTTCCACATCCGAAGGGAAGAAATCATCGGACAAATCATCTGTTACTCTTACAAAATTGCCAATAACAGCCTGTGCTTTGTACACCAACAAGGCTGGCAGACCTTTTTGACGGAAATCTCGACTCATGCCCGCCACTGAACTACAAATCTTGGCAAATTTCACTGTGGGATATTCGGTGGCAAGGGTATCCAGACATTTGTTCAAAGTGCCACATGCTGAAACAGATTTGTCATAAATGTGTATTATAATGGTTGTGTGTTTGTTCTCCTTTTTCCACGCAATTGAGAAACTCTTCATGGGAGTTGAGATTTCATAACTTTGCCAAGTTTTGGCTATGACCACATTGGCGCATCATCTCGGCCATGCGTTGTTTTTGATACTGCTGCAGAAAGTCCTCGGACATTAGCTCGGCAAATTCAGCTTCCAATTCTTCCTGTTTCTTTCGTTCCTCCTCCTCTTGCGCTGTGGCAGTAGTCATCGTTAATTTTTTGGCCAATTCAATGCGCTGTCTATCGCTTTCTTCGCGACGTTCCGCCTGCAGCTGTTTGAATCGTTGCCAGTCTTCCACAACACCTTTGGGCCCGGTATTGGTGGAGCCCATAGAACGATACCCCGCTGCGGGGGGTGGAGGGCATACATCGGGATCAATGAATGCCTGGGGACCTTGAGCGGCCCGGGCACCTCCCTTTTCATCGGCATCATCATCATCTGGTTCATATTCACCTGGTTAAAAATAAATAATATATTTTCTATACACATATTTTCCATTTTTTAAAATATATAATGCAATAATACACACCTTCACTGCTTGAACAATAATATTCAAGCTTTTCTCCCATTAATTTATCTTCCAAGGTAGCCATTTTTCACAAGTCAATTTATGGAATTTCTGTTCTATTTACGGGAATCGTAAATGATAAATGTATAGTAGATATAATTAGGATTAATGGGACAATTGTTAATTAAATTAAAGAAGAATATAAATACATACTCCAACAAGAACAGACAAACAATTAATGACAGTATCGATACTTTATTTTTTATTTCAGAAGACAGTATCGATTGATAGGTTTTGTTATCGATATTATAGAACAAAAATGAAGAGAGAGCTGGTGAGAGCGAAATAGATCTCAGAGTTTCTATTAAAAAGCCGCCGCCGTTTTTGGTGCATAAACAAGAAACCAAAAACAAAGAGGAATGAGTAGTAAATATCAAAACAAATAAGTGTAGAAGAAGAAGAAGAAAACAAACAAGATTGAAAAGCAAGCAACGGGGCTATCGATAATTGATTTAAAATATCGTTATCGCTAAGGTAGATAAAATAATTGGATGTAAAAACGGCTTCAAAGAGACGCAAAGATGAATAACGGAAACAACTTATTCAAATATAAAATGCATTTAAAAATATACCTTCAAAAATCTATAGAGATATAAGAAACATGTTAGTTATGTTCCTTTGCAGACAATTCTTAAATTCTTGAGACATATTACTCGTTCCCAAAATAGAACCGAAATTCGAAAGAAGGGCCGTATTTACACTTTTACTACTGTTGCAATTTTTACCACTTTGAATGTAAAGGGACAAGGCAGTTGAAATCTTTTAATGTTTGGTGCAATTTCAACCTATGCTACCATTAGAAGAAGATTATATTATATGGTCGCAGATCCACCAATATACCAAACATAATATCTCGTAGAATTCAGAGAGAATGGTCTTAATGGTTTTCTCGTGTGTGTGTGTGGAGAGTCGATTTAGTTTCGGTACTAGGAATGAGGTTGTGAAGTTACAAATTGTAAAGTTATTATCCACATGTAGAAGACTTTTCATTTTCAGTATTTGCAAACATTGGTCAGCATGGACCAAACTATAAAAAACATTACTATAATCTTTTAAGTGTATGGGTTTTCTTCACGTTGTAGGGCGATTGACGTCCTATCGACGTCATTTCAGTGAAATTTAATCAAAGTTCACTTCAAATTTTAAAATGCTAGCAATTCCATCCACTCCCCATCTGCATATAAAAGTCTTAATGGAAAATATAATGACAATTGATTAATTGTCGAGTACATTCCTTGCGAAATTCATCCATTTGAGTGTTTGATGGTGTGTGCGTGTGTTCTTTTCAAGATCACAGTCATAGCCGCCGGTAGACACTTTCAGTGCAAATAAATACAAACCATTTTATTTTAGTTTGATTCTATTCCATTTGACTGCCGAGGATAGCGTTCGTTAGGCTGCGCTGTGGCCGGGATAAAATTCTGTCGCATATAATTAGCAAAAACAAATCTCATTCTTGTTTTGCATTGCTTTCTGATTTTCACTTTTCATGTTATGGCCACTAGCCAATTCTAAAACTGTTGGGCTAAACAATAAACTAAAATTACAATTCTTTTGCTATTGCGAATCCGAAGCACACACATTTGCTGGTGTACTACTGTTGAGACAAGTACTATAGGTTGGCGGGCGGACCATTAACCGATCTACTTTTTATTATATAATTAAAAAGAAAGAAGCAATGAAACCCAACAAGAAAAAACCTAGAATCCGCAATAGGCCACGTAATAAAGCCAACCGTTTGCTGGCTTTACAAGGTGATCAACAACCACAAGAAGAAGAATCCTTACCCCTGGAGGAGAACATAGAACCGACCCAAAATTTGAATTCGAAAGAGGAAAATGTTAGTGATGATGAGGATGATGAAGATATGCCTGGTTTGGAAGATGAATCCGAACCAACTGAAGATGCCTCCCATGAACTAGATGCAGTAACCACAATACATCGTAAAATGCATGAAAAAATATTAAAAACTCATGAAAAGGTATCCCCAAGTGACCAACCACCAAAGGAAAAGGAAACGCAAAGAGATAATCAAAAATCGAAAGTGAAAGAGAAAACACCGGAAACTAAACCGGATAAAAGTGGTTCTAAAAACGCGGCATCGAATAATAACAACAAACCGGTACCGGAAACTGGCGAGAAAAATCCCAAAGTTAATCAAAAACCAAAAGAGAAAAGTAAAGAGAAAGAAAACTTGTCGGAAAATAAAACTGAGAAAAGTGCATTTATTCAGAATTTACAAAAGAAAATGGAAGCAATGATGTCTGATGGTAAGTAGTATTTCTCTAAGTCTTTAACTGAGAAAAAGTGATTTATTGGAAGCGGTATAATTTAATATTAGGCAAACTTTTTTCCATCCTATATTACATTCGGCACACGATTCCCTTTAGATTTTAAGCTTGGTTAATATTTAATTTAAATCACTTCGTACAAACTTCGTAAACAATATTTATGCGCCAATTTTTCTATTTTAGAAGAAAACGGATATGAGAGATTTAAATTCTCTCTTTTGTTGCCTACAAATTCAAAAATTCCCAAACCCAACATATTTCCATTAACAATTAATTTTAATTTTTCTAATTAGGCGTGATTGAACTTCTAAGAATCCTGGTTGATTCCAGTATAAATAAAAATAGACCCATAAATATGTTTCCCTTACACCCTGATACGTTAAAATAATATTGAATCAAGATATATTTACTATCCTAATCATGAAAACCACTAACCACTAAAAAAAGAAAGCCCATCTGAATGCCTACTCTTCCTTTAGGTGATGAAAATCTGCCAAATACTTTAATGGAAAATCTCAAAAAACTTTTGGATCAAAAGCCAATGACAGATATCGAATCTAGCGATGATGATGAGGAATATGTTGAATATATTTATAAACCAAGAAAATATTTTCTTGTCGGCCTATGCAATGTAAGTGCACACAAACATGCCAGACATACAAACACACTTATATACTCGAAAACAAATGATGATGAGCCAAAATGTAATATTTTATACGCTTGTCTTTCCACAGCTTTGCAAATGTGATTTATGCAAAATAGAGCAATTGATTGAATGTTCAAAATGCCATATGACATATTATTGCAACATCGATCACATGCAAAATGATGTGGAACATCGTCAATTATGTTCGGCTTTACAACAAGTGGCGGCGGCGGATGTGTCTGGTAAGGTATTAAACTCCTATGCTTCCCCTCCGACTGTGGTGATAAATTTGCAAAATAATATCTTGCCTTTCATTCAGGAGGTCACATTTTTGCCAAATGCTCCGACATGACACCGGATCAATTTCGTTCCTATCGCATTATTGTGATCCGCAAAGTTTCGGAAATTTTGCAAAGACCATTGACGGCCACCGAACAAGAAGTCCTACTATTTCCACGGCTGTGTATAAATGCGAAATGTCGCAAATTTGAGGGACTAACCGATTGTCCCAACTGTGGCATGGTGGCATATTGCACGGAACCTTTGCACCTTGTCGCTGACCATGATAAATGGTGTAGATTCTATCAGCTATTTAAGGAATTAGTAATGCAACAGGAGAAATTCGGACGTTTAGATCCATCGCTGCCAAGTAAAATTCTAAAGGACACACCATTGGTGTGCAACACAACCAGGGAGATTTTTAAGAAGTTGAATATTGGTAAGGGAATCATTCCAAAACCGTACGTTCTATTCTAATTCCATATTCCATTAGATTTACCTGAAAACAGTTGTGAATTTGCTGCCTTGACCCAGATTTCCACAGCTCCTTTAACGGCCTGGTATGCATTGAAATTGACTCAACAACTGAACAAACACGAAGAACTGACAATACACTTAATAGGTTGGTATCTCGGCGGACTATCCCAACTAGATTTCATAAATATTGGTTCCTTCTATTTTAAGGCGCTGAAATTGAGTTTGAAGTTGATATTTTGCACAAATGGGAACTGTTCTTCTTGCACATTACACCCATGGTCAGAACGTTGAATGTGGTGTTTGTGGGACCCGAACTGAATCCCAATAACATATCTTTTGAACAACTACAAAAGACCAAGTGAGAACCTTGAAAAAATTTTTGTCATCTATTTCCAATTAAAAATAAAACTTAATTTCCTTCCAGATGCTGCAAGGTGTGTCAGAAGAATCAACGCACAGTTAAGTACTTCTTTGAGGCAAATATTTATCATGACTATTGTCGTTCCAAACGATTTTTAACACCAAATTTAGGTAATGAGCCATACAAATGTTTTTAAAAGACATTTTTTAAAATGTCCATTCCATTGCAGTATGTTTCTTCAATGCCGGTCTATATCGTTCCACCGGCTTCAACATGGAGGATACCTGGCCCGAAACCATTAGTGCTGCAGCCAAACTACATGTACCCATAGTTGTTACAGCCTACACCGAATATGAATCTCCATTGGATTTGGAACGTTTCCTGGAGGAAAGTAATCGCGACATGAAATTATTGGAGAAACCTTCGGAGAATTTATTCTCTTCATTTAAACCCGAAAGAAATTTCATTTCCGACGATGAGGCCCCGTTCATGTTTAAAAAACTATTACAGCTTTGTTTTACAATAAAAAAAATTGAATATTTATTTCAAATATACATTTTTATATTATGTATGCACTACAAATTTAAAATAATTTCCTATCAACAAATTTCTACGACTTGGCTTCAGCCGCCATTTTAGCGATGCGTATATCCACAGGATTTCGCAACTTTCGTGCAGGTTTAATCAACTCACTCTCATCCATGGGCTCGATAATTTTTCCCTTCTGTGTTATGACCGAGGGACGTGTCAGCAACCGGAAGGCAGTTTCGGTGACAAAGTTACGTCCCAGCGGCGCTCTTATACTGGCCTCGTAATCCTTCAGGGAGGTGAATGGGAAGGGAACATCGGATACCAAGTGATTTCGAAGTTTTTTATTGACATTTTCATTAATGTATACACCTTCTTTGTTCTCGTCTTTTCGTTTTTCCTCAGGGGCCAGTTTGAGTAACAGGCGTTTGTTTCTTCTCTCCATTTGTTCTTTGGAAATACCCGCTCCAGCCCACGAGCCCCAGCCGGGCATTGAAAGTTGTATTTCTGCATCTTTGAGTTCGGAGTCTTTTGTTTTGTCACGGCTAAAATCGGCAATAATATCATCATCCTCAAAGGCCTGGGCAATTGTCATTTGTTGGTCGGCAATGGGATCATCATCCTCATCAGCCATGTCAACATCGCCCATCGCCTCGCTGACGGAACCAAAACCAATTCCATGTTGCTTGAGTTTCACCGTTGCCAGTTTAGTCGGATCTATTGTGTCTGTGACCGTAGATGTATCCGTGCTCTTTGTTTCTGTTGTATCATTGGACTTCGTTGACATTGCTTTGTCGAGGGTTTCATTTATTTTCACCGATTCATCCGCCTTTTCATCTAACTCATTTTTCAGTTCCTCATCGATTTCGGGACGTACTGCTTTATTCTTAAAGGATAAATCCTTCAAGTTCTTCAATGGATCGCGTCCTTTGGAAGACTTCTTCTTATCCTTCTTGCTCTCTTTTAATTTCTTGCCCTTTTCATTGATTATATCTAATTTCTTTTGTAATTTCTCTCTAATCCTGTCTTCTTGGGCATCAAATATGTCATCAATCGACTTGACAGCAACCGGATCAATTTCTTCTACCAGCCAACCATTTTCCAGTTTTTGATTTTTATTTGGTTTAGGTTTAATATCAGGCTTCTTTTCCTTTTTTCTTTTCAGGGATTTAGTAGGAGCTTTAGTATCCCCTTTAGCCTTCTTTTTGGGTACAGCGGCATCTTTTTCCTGGTCGCTCTCATTTTGGTCTTTATCTTCTAAGGGTCCCTCTTCATTTTTGGCAACATCTTCCTTCTCCTTCTCCTCCTCGTCCTGATCCTGCTCCTCCTCTTCTTCTCCCTGCTCCTCATTCAACAACCGCTTGTACTCTTCAAGCATTTTTTCATTATCATTGCGTTCTAGCCAGTATTTACGCCAATTAGATTCACCCTGTTCAGTTGCATTTGCCTTGTCTTTTTTGCCCACAGTGGTCCACGGATTGAAAGGATCATACTCGGGATCATCTTCATCTAGTTCCTCTTTCTTTTCCTCCGGCATTTCTTGATCGGAGTCTTCATCCTTGACCTTTTGTGTCAGCTCTCGACTTATTTGTAATTGCTCTGACAAATCCTTACGCACATCCTTATCATATTTGGCCCGTATTTGTAGATTCTTTGCCCAAGTGCCAGTGTTCTTATGCCTCAAGCTGGCCCGTTCCAGAACACGGGATTTTTCCAATGCGTTGAGTTTTTCCATGGCAGCTTCGGGGTTAGTTTTCTGCAATAGCTCAAACTGTTTGATTTGTTCCTGCATTTTTTGTTTCTTAAGCAGTTTGTGGTATTTCTTGGATTTGATTTTCTTTTGCAGGCGAGCCTTTACTGACTTCTGAGCCTCACGCATTTTCAAATAAGCCAACTCCTTTCGCTTGGCTATCAGTTCTTCCTTGGTTAATTTCTTTTGCAGCAATTGTTGTTCTTGTTTTTCCAATTCGGCAGGATCTTGAGTGTCGCCCAAATGTTCACGTTTCATTTTGGCATATTTATTCTCCAATTCTTCCATTTGTAACATCAGGTCGGTTTTAACACTTTGCTCCAAGGGTTTACGACGCAAAGAGGTGTTGACATAAATCGTCTCTGATTTCAGAGGAAATACCTGGGAGGCAAGAGAATATTATTATACATTTGTGACATCTTCTACAGCTTCTATAACTTACTTGTGTTTCCGCTGATCTATTTGATGCCACCACCGCATCCCATTTGGCCAGCTTTGCCTTAACATTTTCATAACCAATGGTTCTCTTGATACGCTCAGCAGCTGGCTTCTCCAAAGGTTTCTCCAACACCTTCTTTGTAGTGACAGTTTTCTTGAGTTCTTTTCCCGTCTCCAATAGCTTTTTATTACCTTTCAAGACTTGAACCAAATCATTGATGGCTACTGGCTGAGCCTTGGGTTTGGAGACAACAGCCAAACCCTTGACCAACTGAAATTCATCCTGAACCAATTTCGGTTCATCACGTGTTGATTTCCGTATATGTTGCGTCTTTCCCAAACTGCTGATAGCCTGTAGCAATTGTTTGTGGGATTTTGGGTTGATTTGTTCCTCGTCGTCACTCATGTTTTCGTTATTAAATTGTTGATTGAATTAATTCGATTTCCCAGCAGCTGCGTCGATGCGTCTACCTGTATTTTTCTACCATGTGTTATAGAGCCACAAAATCTTCTGTCAAGGCGAAAATATTTATTTTCGCCTCAAGCATGAATTTTGACATTTCATGAAATAACAGCTGTTTTTAGATTAATTCGCTCCGCGATTTTTTATTTTAATGAAGTCATGCTGCCAGTCCTGACCCATTGTGATTAAGCTTCTTGCCACTTGGTTGTAATGTAATCCGTCGTCTCGGGATTTTGCATATATGCTGCATTGGCCCAATTATAAGGTCGACAAGTAAGACCAGCTGATACCTACATTTTCTGTCAACATAATTTGAATTCGCCTGACAACTACAAAAGATGTCAATAATTACTTGTCCGTTATTTATTGTCAGTTAATTTTTGTCAAATTTTAAAAACAAATAGAAAGATATTTTTTTAAAAAATTGGTTCTTCTCTTTGTTAACTTGTGTGCGTGAATTAACAATGAGAATTTGCATAATATGCAAAAGAAAAGAAGAGCCTGGAAAGGCACTGAACTTTTTCTCTGTTCCCAGAGATGAAAACACCAGAGAAAAGTGGAGTCAAATGTGCCAAATCAAATTTGCAGCTACATCAAAAGTTTGCACAGACCATTTCAATAAGGCATATGTGATGCAGTCAGGAAGTAAATTGAGACTTCTGCCAATGGCTATACCAGAACTCGGTCCACCGCAATTGAGCCCGTAAGCAATGGTAGAGAATAAAATTCAAATATATTCCCATTTTTACATTATAGATATATGAAACCTGACGATACACAAGTAAATGTCCACGATAAGATTATTATTGACAAAACAGAAACGGAATCATGCACTCTTATTGGAAACCTAGCTCAAAAAACCAAAACATCAAAAGATCAGGAGACTCAAACAGAGTAATACTTTAAGTCAAATATACCCTACCCTGCATAAAGCTATTTAAAGAATGTTAGTTATTCTAATAGCTACGGGGTTGTGACATGAGGTCCAACCATGTCTCTGCATTTCATGATGTAGCGATATCCGTCTCACTACCAAAATAGATGGGAGATATCGGGTCACTCCTTTAAAAAGTTCCCCACAAATTCTAAATTTTGAAAAAAAGGAATTATTTTCTTGATAGAAAACATGATATATATCGACTTCATAACAGATCTTGTGTTAGCAAAAATATGGTGTGTGTGAAATTTGAAGAGAGTTGGATATTTATTTCGCTTTATTTGAGTGTTTTGTTTTCCAAAATCTTGAAACCTATGTATGGGGGAGAAGAAATGGTTTAATCTATACCACCTTTATAACAGATCTTGTGTTGATAGAAATATTGAGATGTGCCAAGTCTAAATGGAATCGCATGTTAATTTGGCGTTTTATGTGCTTCATGGGTATTCAAAATTTCGACACTTTGTGGGGGAGGTACCAGAAGGAGTGGACCGATACATCCCATGTTAACATCAGATCTTGGGTTTATGAAGTGAAATTTGAAGACGTTCGGATCTTTACATCACATTATTTAAGAGTTGTAATTATTCAAAATTTTGACCCTTTGTGGGGGAGGTACTTGATGGAGTGGACCGATCTTGTCCATTTTCTTACCTGACCTAGAATTGATGCAAATAGTAGAATTCGCAAAGTTGGAGCAAAATCAAATCATCCCTTCTCTTTCTGTGCAGCAAAACATTTTCTTTGAAAATTTGGACATTTTGTGTGGGAGGTACCAGAAGGAGTGGACCGATATTGCTCATCTCCGAACTCGATCTAAGTTTGACAAAAATATTACGATGTACCAAGTTTGGATCAAATCAGATACTCCCTTCGAAAGTTATCGTGCGCACCAGCCAGCCAGACAGACAGACAGATGGACGGACGGACGGACATCGGTAGATCGACTCCAAATGTTCTGAAACGGATTTGGTCCAAAGAGACCTAGGGTTTAAAACCGTTATTTCGACTAGGCACGTTTTGACCGTATGAAATGATATATACCCTCTGTAGCCATATGGCTGAGGGTACAACCAAGGTCTGATTGTCAAATTTCACAAATTTCAAGAAGAAGATGGGATGTATCGGTACATCGCTTCTGGTATCATCATTCTATGAGAAAGGACCCTTAATAAATAAAAAAAATACTCACTGTGTCTTTTCCAATATAGGTAATATAGGTTGGTCCAACCAATGTCCAATTCCTTCCAATTCAATTCAAACAAAACCAACCAAACCAATCTGCTTGTGCTCGCGCTTTGTTCAGTTGTGAAGAGCAAATCGAATGAGCGCGTGGGAAACCAAAATGAAAGACGTCCCCAACGGAACAAATAAGAAATCAAAAGAAATGCCCGATAAAAAAGAACGAGAAAGCAAAATCCCCGAGGGACCTCTGTTGTTTACGAATGAGTGGAATGCATAACCCGAGGGACCTCTGTTGTTTACGAATGAGACATGAGGAAATCGAACCGCTGGCCACATTCATTAAATGAACCGGGGGTGTAAGTTCCTTCAACTCGAGGCCGGCTTTAGGTAGTCATTTTGACGCCGTTCTTCGGTTCCAGAAAACTCACTCACTTACAAAGCGACCGACCAGATTATGAAGCCGAGTCGTTTCTTAACCGCCGATAGCCAACCGACACACACAGACTACAAAGACTCTTTTAAGAAAATTATCACCGTTAAAAAGAAGCTACAAACAACCAAGTTGAAGTAGGGTTCTAAAGATCGCAAATGTCCAAGTTTGTAGGGATTCAAAAACCTATTTTCGCCCAAGAAAATATTTGACAGGTGACGACAGGAATTGGCAATTGGTTTTTTTTTAAAAATTGTAAAAGTTTGAAAAAAAAAACAGTAAAGTGTAAGTGAACACCTTATGTACCTTTTTGCTCTTGTGAGAGTGTAGGGAGTCTATTTATGGGTTCTAACGGAAAACAATAATACAAATTAGGCGTTTTACTAATTGTGTTCCCGGTTTTGTTTTCCTTTTGCTTAGTCAATTTACAAGGTAATGAATACAGACAATTATTATCTAGTTCTTCTTTTTTTTTTGCTTTTTTCAGAAAACTCAAAGGGGACTTATTCCTGAAAAATTTCAGATACATTAATTTAATTGGTTTTGAAAGATGGATTCCTATTATCTTATAATGAAATTCGATTCAAAACCCTCAAAATCCAAATATTATAAATCACACTCTTGAGATTTTCTTTGGGAAGTTTTTTCATTTATTTTTTGTTTTGTTTCCTCAGGCATGGTATGTATGTACGCAAACATGTGTTATCAAAATGACAGTACATTTGATATAGCCAATACATTCACGAATACACCTTATAAATGCCTATGATTCGATTGTATGGAGCGATCAATCGATTTACATTAAAAGAAACTATCGAAATCGATTGATTGTCATCTCTATATTTTTGCAAACGTGAATAGTTTCGTTGAATTTGCTGAGAAAGGTTAAAACAATTAATAATCAAAGGCAGAAAATGTATGAACTAAAGACTCTGCTTCCTCAATTTGACATAACTGTCCCCAAGTGCATGTACGAAATTACATTTGATATAGCCAATACATTCACGAATACACCTTATAAATGCCTATGATTCGATTATTTGGAGCGATCAATCGATTTACATTAAAAGAAACTATCGAAATCGATTGATTGCCATCTCTATATTTTTGCAAACGTGAATAGTTTCTTTCAATTTGCTGAAAAAAGTTAAAACAATTAATAATTAAAGGCAGAAAATGTATGAACTAAAGACTCTGCTTCCTCAATTTGACATAACTGTCCCCAAGTGCATGTACGAAATGAAAAATTTGAATACAGCCATCGTGGGAGACAAGACCAATCCCAAGAAAGTGACAGAGGTAAGAATGTTGTAGAACTCGGGGCTGTCATGACGCGGCCTGCCTTCCCATGCACTAATGAGACAAATTCTGTCTTCGTATTTCAAAAGCCTGGATATCATTCTCATGTAGCAATAGTTTTATTTTTCCTTATTCACAAAAACGTAACTACAATTTTCATTTTAGCCATAGTTCTTGAAATTTATAACACTATTACAATTGCCATTATTACCTGCCATATTAATCATCTCACGTTTGTACCATTCTTGAAGGGCTTCTTGAAATTCTTTGGTGCGACCACAGCGGCAACCACTGGCACTGTTAGCACGTGTTGTCCCCTTGATTTGGATAAATTGGGTGCTCAGATACAACAGATTCTCAAGGTTATTTTATGGAATTTACCTAATATATATTTATGATCTCACTAACCAACCAACTGACAAACCAACTTGTATACATCGTCGTCTAATACTGCACCTCATTAGATATGGCATTCTATTGTATCCACTTAGATGGGCATAGCTTATTTGTAGAATCTTGGGTATTAAAGGCTAACATTCTAACTAAACTCTGCCACCCCAGGGACTTGGTAGACCAGACATAATTCACTAACCAATTGATGCACAATCCAAATCATATGTTTTCGTCCACGCCACAAGGGCAAAAGGGGATGACATACCTCAACGCATACAACTCACCATCTGCTCTGTTAATAACATAATTTCTCTCTGTTAAAGTTGTAAAAAACACTAATTCTCTTTCGCCATTCATTTAATTATGCTTTCATTTATCAGCCCAACACCATATAAAGTGGCTACCTCTTTTGCTCATTTCTCGGCCGCAGTCTCTATCAAGTGTTCAGTGTGTAACCATATAGTTTGTGTTGGCAGTTTTCGTTTCCGCAGAACATAGCTAGCTAAAGAGAAATGAGTTCGGAGGTCTATTGGTGCTTTACATTCATTCATTTGCTGAAAACTAACCTAAAAAGTTATCAATTTTTATTTTATGCCTTGAATTTATTGCAATTTTTGTTTATATCTACTCACAATAGGTCTCTTGTGATGATGCTCAAACAGTGGTTAAACGCCAGGAAAAGGTAATGCTTCAGTTGGAGGAACTGAAAAAGCAATTGGCCGGAATTCGTTCAACATTGGGTTTGTGTCAAAAAGGCAGCCAGGCAACTAGCTATATATCCTCCAACAATGGTGGTCTCAGAGAGGTATGTTTAACGTTGCAAAAGAAAGGGAGTAATATGTATTAATGAAATTTGATCAACAGGAACCGTTGCATGATGTTGTCATAAATGGACATCCAAATTTCATACCCTACGCTTTACTTGCCATGAAAAATGCCTGGAAGGATTTGTTTACCATTGATGTTAAAACGTTTACCCATTCCACCATGAGTGACATTGGCAAAGAGGCTAAGGCCTTTGAGGAGGCCCTAAAGAGAGTAAAGGTTGATCCCAGCAAACCCAAAGTCAATGTAACACTCATATGGAAAAACTGTATGTTTATCTCGATTCTTTCAATGAGAAACATATTTACAGTGTCTTTTTTGTTACAGGCGAACACACTGAAATGATCAGCTCACCCACCATGTATGTTCCCATTTATGGTGAAGTGAACATCATTCGATATTTGGGACGTGTTGGCCCAGCCGAGTACCGTTACGAAGATTCTCCCCTTTGCAATGAAATCGATGCAGTGCTGGACATATGCTATCAACTGTTGCGTTGCAATACTCCCAAGGCCAGAGCCAATATCATTCGCATTCTAAACAACCGCCTGCAAAAACAACAATATTTCGGTGGAGACAAAATGTCCATTGCCGATATTGGAGTCCACAGTTCCTTACGTCGTATGCCTGCAATAGCCGACAAAGATTTAACTCCCGCATTACTTGAATGGCGTAAACGTGCCGCCAAGTTTACTTTGATTTAAGAAAAAATTCGAACACTCAAACAAACACACAATTTAGTTTAAGAATACAATCACGAAGCCGAGAGATAAGCAAATTCAAATTGACGAAAATAAATTGAAACTTACCAAGTGCCCACCTCAAGGTCCACAAGGTAAGGAAAAAACGAATGCATTTGGTAAAATTACAAAATAAGATTTTCTCTTTATTAACTTTTGTTGTTTTTTGAAAAGAAACTTTAAAACTACTTCTCTACATCTAAGGTTGTGAGCTTCTCACGTTTATTATCATCAATAATTCATATATGTGTTCAGTCTAGTAATGTAAAAAAGAAAAAAACGGAAAACAATAAGGCGAAACACAAGTTCGCTTAACAGTTCAAACTGCCTATGCTATTACTCAATGTTACGATGTAGGGTAGCATATTGTCGATTTGCACTTGACCCACCAAGTTTGAAAAGAATAATTCTTCTATTGCTTCCGACTCTAAGGCACTCAACGGCAAAAGGTTGAGAACGATGTTATTGAAACGTTCGTCCGCTTCGTAGGCGGGTATTTCTTGGGACATTATCAGCTTTCTTAGACTTGTGAGACTGTATTGCTGCACGCGCTGTACAAAGGAGCGTAAATTCTGATCCTTGCGTTTCACAAAACAGTGGCCATTGAATAGACAGGCTAAACGCAAAAAGGCATATTCCATATCGCTGCACTCCAATGACTGAATGCTTTGTATGAACGAATTTAGACGAGCAATGTGTTCACTTAGTTTCTTTATCTTTTGTGGCTCGATTTTCTCATTGGCCAATTGACGAACATTGGTAATCAAGGTGCTTATTATGGTACGCTGGGAGAGGTTACGGACCTGGGCCACACTGATTGCCAGCAATGCGGGCCAGGCTGACCGCAGTAGTGTTATTTGAGCACGTTGTGATAATTCCATGAAAGCTGGCACCTTGCGCAGCCACACAATTGTAAGGAAGATAATGCGCGAACCGGATTCACACACATAGTGGACATTGAAGTAGGAGGATACCAAAGCCGGCGTTTGTAAGTTGAAACTGGCATAGTTGGAAGATATCAAATCATTCTCAAAAATTGCTTCGTTGGCCAAGAACTCAGCTCCACCCTCATCCATGTCCATGGTGTCATTGAAATCGTCCTCGTTGCTACTCTGATCACCCATATCATCGTCTTCGTTAAGTTCATTTTTGATGGACAATCCATTTCCTCCAGTTGACATATTGTCTAATTGTTGTTTTATGGGCTGCAGTAGCTGCAATGCCTTTTCAATGACCCTCTTGTCTAGGGCTGTCTGAATAAAACCAACTGTTGCAGGATTTGGTGTTAGGGCGTCAAGATTAAAGTTGATGTTTTGATTATTGTTGTTGGAGAGATTTTGCAAGCACATTGTGGTTGAATTGTCAAAGGCATCATCATCGTCATCCTCGGTCTCTTCAATTTGATTTTTAGGCTCTGGCGAATAGCTCATGTGCTTGTTGGAACTGGTAGACGATTGACTGGACAGTTGTTGCTGCTGCTGCTGCTGTTGAGCTTGTTGTTGCTGCTGTTGTTGGGTTGCCAGCACTAGATACGTACAGGGATGGATATTTCAAAATACTTTCAAAATTATTAGATTGTACTTACTTAATGTTTGTGTTAGTTCGGCAAAATTTAGCCCCATTGGGAATATCCCGGCAGCCGCAGATGAAGAGAAAGCCGCCGCTGCGGCTGCATTTGATGCTGCAGCAGCTGCATTTAAATTGTGATTGAACAAAGGTGACAATTTCGATCTCTGATGGAATTGTGGACTAGAATTTGATTTCATTGACGATGCAGTCGAGCCACTTCCACCTGCAGACACTGGTAATCCTTGACTGGTGGAGGCGGTTGACATAGGATCCTTTTTGTCAATAATTGGTTTTCGTTCATGCTGCACAGCTAGAGATTTCAAACAAATGGAAATAAAACAAAAACAATGATAAAAATCTTGAAAGCAACAGGTATTTCCTATGAAGAAATGAGCATGCAGAAAAACTGGATTGCCGCAAAATTTGCTGACATTCACATTTAGAATTTCAGTTCCCGTTTATGTGGATGTATGTATGTGTGTAATGATTTTGAAGAATGCACAGATGTGATGAAAATGGGTGAGCTTGGTAACCAAAAGGAGGATGTCTGTGGTTAGTCATAGCCAAAGTATAGTTTTCTTTTTGAATTTGTGTTAGGATGTTTGTCGACATTATTAAATGAAAATTACAATCACTTCTCATGCCGCTGGCCAGACATTTCTGCAATCTGCAGAACTGGCAACGATTACGATGGTGCTTGGTGACCTCGCAGTTCATTGCTCCGCGACACTGGTAGCCCAATTGTTTGCGTATCGATCGCTTGAAGAATCCCTTACATCCCTCACAACTGATAGCTCCATAGTGTCGTCCCGAGGCCCGATCGCCGCAAACCAAACACAGCTCCACATTCATGTTGGTGGGCACTGCCGTTGATGAACCGCCAGCTACAGAACCAGGCCCAACTCCATGAGTTGACGTGGGATGATTCACAAAATATTTTTCTGCAAAAATGGAATCAACAAAAAAAGAACAAAAAACAACGATAACAGGTAGCAGCAAGTACTTCTAAGAATGATGTGTAGAGTAACATGAATGTGACTACAATAGCCTTGAGCCTCACCTTCAGCTTGAAAACCACTTGTGCCCATTGTCGGAGCTTTATAATGTCGCCCCGTCGCCGCACACCTTTTGCTCGGTCCCCTTACTCTTTTGATTGCTTTGTTCAGTTTGTGGGGGTAAGACGACACTTCTTACTCTGATTCTTGATTCCGCTCTCTCTCCACGCTGAGGTGTTATTGCTGTTGTTGTTCTATAAAAATTCTTGACCTTTTTCGCTTCCCTCCGTTCCGAACGCAGCTCAACAACACCAATCAAGTTAATTCCTATGCAGTCAAGTAAAGCCAGAAGCACTTGTTTTCTAGTTCAGTACATCACTTCACACTAGAAGCTAGCATAGACTACTTCTTTTCTAACTAGACACACTAACACAACGACATCCGAGTCTCTCGAAAAACAATACAAAAATTGTTGCTTCACTTGGTTTTGGGTTGGCGATGATGATGTTTTTGATGTTATTTGTCTTTATGTGTCTCGCTGCTTTTGCTGCTGCTACTTCTGTTGTTGACTTTACCTCGAGGTCAATCACTTGTTAAAAGAAGGCAGACGATGCACCTTTTCCTTTTAGATGAACACTGAATTATTTATATTTCTGGTTAGATGTTTTCTTTGTACTGTATTTCTAGTTCCAGCTAGAATAATTTACCTCCTCCTAATAGGAAGAGAGATATTTGTAGGTTTTAATTTCCAATTAAAAAGAAAAAGACGTACTAACGCCACCACACTCTCAGCCAAGAATGATGAGAGAGAGACAGATGGACTGTGAATACAAAGCTGCGGTTAGAAAAACATCGGCGTGAAACAAGAATCCAAGAACAAGGCAAAACGACTGATAAACGTCAAAATCAAAACAAAAGCAACAGCTGTGGATTTTTAAAGGTTGGATTAAAATTGAAGGAAGTTTTTTTTTTAACGATCGAAATTATACACATATAAAGAAAATAAATGGGAAAAAACGATAAAAAAGGCAATAAATAATATCTACGAAGGGTAGCTGGGACGATGAAGTCTTATCATAAAACGGAGCCGGGTGATTATCCCGCCACCATCGACGTTGCAGAGTTGAGACTCGGTTGGAACGGCGTTGCTTTGGATACTCTGGCATATGTGTTTACTATGTAATGCAACTCTGTGACGGTTATTACAAAACTTTTAACTATTTATGACATATAGATGGCGATGCTTCCAAAAAGTTGAAACTGAAATTAAAAATGTTTTCTCATTAGAAATTAAAATAATGGGATAATTGATTATGCTATATCAAAGGAAAATTTTTATTATTATTATCTTTAACATACCGTTAGATTTCAAGCATAAATTGACATTTGCTAATGTTTAACACAGGAATTGCCAAGAGAAGGATCAATCCAATTGGAATGTAAGCTATCCGTACGGACTGATGTCTTACATTTGGGGTTTTCACAATCAGAGATTAGGGTAATTTTCGCTTTCTTATTAAAAAAATAATAAATAAATAAATATTTAAGTGACACACTTAAATCGAACCATTGCCAACACCATTTATTTCCTGCAATAAAATGTACATGGTCTTGTAGGCCATTTCACTGCATTGGTTCCCCTGTGTGGGTGACATCAAATCAACCGTTACTTAAAATACAATTAAAATTTTATGCGTCAATGATTTGCAATTAAATGCAATCTCCACGTTATTCATTTAATAACATTTTGTAGAAATGAATATTGGAACAACCTTCGGCTGGAACATAGCTGAAGTAAATTTAAAATTTTGAAATATGAAAAAATTGCATTGCTTCTACCACCCTCCACTCCCCTCATTCGAAAGCACCGTATGGCGGAAGAGATGTACACGATGTACATGGAATACTAAAAGAGTGTCAGCCACTGTCCCACTAATTGTCCAACAGGACATGCACACAAACATGACAATTTTCCGTCACTTGTTTAAGTGTTGTAAGTGGTTAAGAGAGGACATCAAATTGATAAAAACAATTTTTCATTGAATGCCACAGGAATTTGTTAAAAAAAGAGTAGACAATTATGTTCACGTGGATGGGTAAAGGAGAGTAGGTTATTTAAAGCACGTGTGACCCCACACTTACACAAACCTGCAGGTGACATGGCCAGTAATTTTGCATTCTGGTTGCTGGGGAAAATTAATTTTTTCTTTAAATCAAAACATAAACGCACATGACATTGCTGTGCTTCTGATGTTTCCTCACAGAAGTTGAAGAAGTCAAATTTGGAGCAAGATTTTTCTACAAAGAAAAATCCAAATAAAAGGAATGCGGGTTAACCAAAGATTAGTGTAGCGTAATAAAAGGAATTTTGTATTCCAGGTTAGCTTAATTTTCTCATTGTTGTTGTTTTTTAGTGTTTTTTTTTTCAAGTTTTACCAGGAAACGGAAGTAAGAGAAATGTGCTGCGTTGGAACATGACTTGAAGCTGGTCAACACTGATTGCATTTTTTTAATGGTGCTGTCAGTCGGATGCAGCAGCCTCGCTTC